GTAATGGATAACTATGTAATGTGCGATATTGTTGTAAATATGACTTTCAGTAACATTATGTTGCGTATCCTCACTACACAACATTTTCTCAAAATATTTCATACCTTCCCAAATATCTATTAATAATTAAATATCATTTATATATACAATATTTTAACCTCTGTATTCAGTGGATTTCCATGAACGTGTGAATTAAATATTGCTGGTAAGTAATTTACAGGTTTTTCCTAAGACTATAATTATATGACAAAGACGGAAGCTGTGAGAATTTACGAACGTTGCAGCTCTACGTCATGTCGTTGCAGCTCTACGTCATGTCGTTGCAGCTTTACGTCATGTCGTTCCAACTTTACGTCATGTCGTTCCAACTTTACGTCATGTCATCCATACACATTCATCTCACTTAAGAAATTTAACAAATATAACACTAACTTCTTGTACTTCATGTTATGTGATAACATGTAAGTGAGAAGACACAAGCTGTTGTTAACTCTTATAAAATTATTGTTAATTTCATACATTTGACTTACCTTCACGTCGAGAAATCACTGTTGTTGTATTGTTGTTGTTGTAGCTAATTTTCTTGCTGTTGATAATCTTGTTGATGTTGTTGTTGCTGTTGCCTTAACGGATGTTCTCGTTGATGCTGTTGATACTCCTGTTGTTACATTTACTGTTGGTAATGTTTTAGTTATTTTCCTGTGGCTACAGAATAATTAACTGAAAATCTTCCCATGGTAATATAACCTTCAAATATCGCGTGAATAATCTTCCTCCAGACTACACACACACCTTCAGATAACTGCAGTTATTATTATTATTATTATTATTATAAGTATTTCTTTCATTATATAGTATTATTTAGGATTTGTTTATTATTATTAATTATGATTATTTACCCAATTATCATTGTAAGTAGTGAACACAATGTACTTTCTGACAACACAGTGTAATCTTAATAAATAGTAGCAAATCTGCCCCTGGAATCATACATATGTCAGGAAATCTTACAAACACAGGTGTTGTGACGTGTACACCTGATCGTAGCTTCGTCATCATGATAACTTATGTAGCAATGAGAGAAAATCCAGGAAATAGTAAATGCTTTGAGTATTTCCTTCACTAACTACGAATGCAAGTAATTGTACAATGTATATAAACTATGTACAGAATAACAAGTTAACAAGAAAGAGCCACAGTGAGAATTATGAGCGACTAGACTCGAGGTAAGTCTGCCACTGTTGATCCACAAGTTCCAGACATAACTTCACAACTTTGGTGAGCTTCCTTGTGGTTGGCTGGTTGAGCCGAGCTATTTAGTGTTACAACTGGGCTACACCGTTATACCCTTAACAGCTGGTGGGCAGGGCATGCCTGTGTGGGTGTGTGACATGGGTATGCCACACAGTGTGATAATTATTCGTTTTGAATGCTTTAGAATTGGTCATAATATGTATTTGTACATATTTGGAAGAAATGAAGCGTCAATGCTAAAATGTTAAAATACCATAGTGAAAATAAGAAATTAAACCCCAGTACTTTCTGGAGCTTACACACTTAACTTCAGAGGAATAGGAAGAAAAGGCAAGAGAAACACATTCTGAATGTTAAGCTCTGAAGTGACATCTCACTGACAGATGACAACACCTCACTGACAGATGACAACACCTCACTGACAGATGACAACACCTCACTGACAGATGACAACACCTCAATGACAGATGATAACATCTCACTGACAGATGACAACACCTCACTGACAGATGACAACACCTCACTGACAGATGACAACACCTCACTGACAGATGACAACACCTCACTGACAGATGACAACACCTCACTGACAGATGACAACACCTCAGTGACAGATGATAACATCTCACTGACAGATGACAACACCTCACTGACAGATGACAACACCTCACTGACAGATGACAACACCTCACTGACAGATGACAACACCTCACTGACAGATGACAACACCTCACTGACAGATGACAACACCTCACTGACAGATGACAACACCTCACTGACAGATGACAACACCTCACTGACAGATGACAACACCTCACTGACAGATGACAACACCTCAATGACAGATGACAACACCTCACTGACAGATGACAACACCTCAATGACAGATGATAACATCTCACGCAATCCTGTCTTGCACATATGTTTGTCCAGGATAAAGTCAAATTGTTTGTTTGACAAAGAACACACTGCATTTTTATGAAAAAATATTCCAGACTATAAAATTATCAAGTTTATATACACCAGAACTCAAATTTGAAATATGCTGTAAATCACGATTAAAAATAATAATGATTCAACAAAATATTGTTGAAGTGTAGAATTATAGGGATGAAGTTGTTTGGTATTAGTCCAATCTACACATTTTCCTGCATTCCTTACATGAATAAACAAACTACTGGATTTTTGTCCATTTGATATTACATGTTGCTCAACTCTTGTCTCATGAGATTTGTCTCTTTGACCTAAATATAAGTATGGACAAGACCCCAAATAAGTATGGGCGCTAAGCGGTGAATCTCACACACAGAGCACCAGGTCTCTGATAAGTTTTTTTCATCAAATCTTGCCACATACTAAAATAACATAATACAGGCCTGGTGCTCATAAGTATGGAATTCACTGTTTAAATTCAGCTTGGCACCCATACTTACCTGGAGTCTGGTTATGTGGCTAAAGTACTGTGAACTATGATGCACAGTGTCCTGTTCTCTTATTGTATTTTTCACTTGGTTTATTTTGCACTTCCTCCCATAAAGTCGGTACCTGATCAGCCGGGCTGTAACAGCCTTTTTGATCAGACCCTCAACCACCTCGAGGCCTGCCCTCAGACCGTGCAACGGGGGCGTTGACCCCTGAAACCCTCTCCAGGTATATCTCCCACTCTGATATGTGTTTATGGGAGCGTACAGATTTGGGACCAGGTCCTCCGAGTATATGTTATCATGCATCTCACTCCTTCCCTCCATTGAGTACATATTCAAGACTTTAAGGTGTTCCAGTAATTTAAATGACTTACTGGCTCTATGCGGGCCGTAAATGATCTCTGTATTTGTACAAACTGGTTGAAGATTGAAACACTGATGCAGCATATGGGAATCTTTATTAAGGAAACGTTTCGCCACACAGTGGCTTCATCAGTCTCATACAAAACAGAATGGTGTAAGGAGAGGAGGAGTTTGAGGTAATCAGTCCCTCAGCCTGGAGTCGATGTGTTCAGCCCATCAATCTTGTAGAAAGTAGAGCATAGGGCCGTAGACGTAGCTTATATGACCCCGCCTCCTCCTGCTTCACCTCACCTCACTACAGTATATAAGCCACTTCTACGGTCCTATGCTGTACTTTCTACAAGACTGATGGACTGAACACATCGACTCCAGGCTGAGGGACTGATTACCTCAAACTCCTCCTCTCCTTACACCCTTCTGATTTGTATTGGACTGAAGAAGCTACTGTGTGGAGAAACGTTTCCTCAATAAAAATTTCCATATGTTGCATAAGTGTCTCAATTTTCAACTTGTCGGTTTTTTAAACCATTTATCATATCAAATATGTTTGTTCTCCTTTACCATGACACATTGGTATACCATTTCTACTTAATTAATAATTTTAAATAACATCTTGGAACAGTAAAAATAACATTTGATTAAGAATTTCCCCTAAAATGCGATGTCTGTGTGTATAAGATTCACTCTAAAAATTCACGCGAGCGATTTTAACCTCCCAATTGATTTTCAAAAAGCCGAGAAAGTTGCATCAAGCAGGCATATGGCTGAGAAGAAATATACAGTATACTTCACTGAAATACGCTCCTCAAACATGTTTTCTCTCTTATAATACTGCAACATTGTTGCATATTTTTGACGAACTTTCTATAAAATTCGTCTGGAAGAGTGCCACTTCTGGGAGAAAAATTTGGAGCGCTGCGAGCTGGATTGCGGGAATTTTCTCTTCCATCTAGTGGGCTTAAAAGTGGTGCTCGTGTGTTGGAGACAGCACGAGCTTATGGTCTTACTGAAGACTCAGTTCATGCGGGCAAAAACACTGAGGCAAATGTACGGGGCTTGTGCAGTGAATATCCCAGGTTCTCACCTGCTGATAACAGTAACACATCGATCACAAAACGTAAACAACATGGAAAACTTATTGACTGAATAGCTTGAGCAAANTAAAGAACTGTGTGATGAGGACGACCTGAACTGAAGACGACTGAAACTGTGTGATGAGGACGACCTGAAGATTGTGTGATGAGGACGACCTGAAGATTGTGTGATGAGGACGACCTGAAGATTGTGTGATGAGGACGACCTGAAGATTGTGTGATGAGGATGACCTGAAGATTGTGTGATGAGGACGACCTGAAGACTGTGTGATGAAGTGAGACTGAGCCTGAAGACTGTGTGATGAGGACGACCTGAATGTGTGATGAGGACGACCTGAAGACTGTGTGATGAGGACGACCTGAAGACTGTGTGATGAGGACGACCTGAAGATTGTGTGATGAGGACGACCTGAAGATTGTGTGATGAGGACGACCTGAAGATTGTGTGATGAGGACGACCTGAAGATTGTGTGATGAGGACGACCTGAAGATTGTGTGATGAGGACGACCTGAAGATTGTGTGATGAGGACGACCTGAAGATTGTGTGATGAGGACGACCTGAAGATTGTGTGATGAGGACGACCTGAGATTATGGATGAGACACCTGAATTGTGTGATGAGGACGACCTGAAGACTGTGTGATGAGGACGACCAGAAGATTGTGTGATGAGGACAACCTGAAGACTATGTGATGAGGACGACCTGAAGGCTGTGTGAAGGAAGACCTGAAGACAGTGTGATGAGGACGACCTGAATACTGTGTGATGAGGACGACCTGAAGACTGTATGATGAGGAAGACCTGAAGACTGTGTGATGAGGACGACCTGAAGACTGTGTGATGAGGACGACCTGAAGACTGTGTG